AGATGAGACAGGGAACGCAGTAAGAGTCCGGGAGGAATGAAACTCTGATGAAGTTTAAGCTACGATGATGGAGGAGGGGCTGGAGGGGGGTGGAAACGGGGTCATCTGAATGAAGTCATACGGCGTAACCACCGCCTGCGCACTAGGAAGCAGATGAGTTGCGGATCGGAAGCCTTTTAAGATGAGCTTTAGATGCTGATTGGCTTTCGTAGAGGCGTGGTTCAAAGATGATTGGCTGAATAACAGGCTGCTGTAGGAGAGCAATCAATTTTTTTTTCAGTTGAACTTCCGCCTAGGCTCCATTAAGAAGTGTATATAATCTAAATACCTTATTTTAAGAGTAAAAATCCTCCTTCCATTGGCAATTCATCTTATTTACCTGCTCAAACTAAGGGTAAATACACTGAATTTAAGACATTTTGACTTATTTCTAGATCGTTTTGCAATGTTTTTCACTGAAGCTTTTTGTTTCATGTCTTCTGTCTCCAGTTGAGCGGGACAACATGTCGGACTTCTGCGTCCTGGGACAGAGACCCCCTCCTCACCTTGCTCAGCTCAGCCACCTCAGCTCCGGCGGGCCCCTCCTCAAAGCCGGATCCGGCGACCCGCAGGCCCCCTCTCAGCCGCTGCAGCAGCCTCCTCCTCCCCAGCAGCAGCCCTCCCCTCACGGGCCCCTCCACCACAGCCCTCCCCTCCGCACAGGACAAGTGCCCCCGCCTCCCCCGCCGCCTCCGCCCGGCCCCCTGCAGCCCCTGCTGGGGCCAGGTGGGCTCCTCTCTCCGCAGCTCTCCCCGCAGCTGGTTCGCCAGCAGCTGGCCATGGCCCACCTCATCAACCAGCAGCTGGCGGTGAGCCGCCTGCTGGCCCACCAGCACCCTCAAACCCTCAACCAGCAGTTCCTCAACCACCCCCCCATCCCTCGGGGTTCATCCAAAGGTGGAGGAGACCATCCTGGGAGCAACCCCTCAGCCGCTGAGGTCTCCTCTGAGATCTACCAGCAGGTCAGAGACGAGCTGAAGAGAGCCAGCGTCTCCCAGGCCGTGTTCGCCCGCGTGGCCTTCAACCGCACCCAGGTAGGGGGCCAGGAACGCCATCGAACCCATCCAGATGCAGGAGCCCAAACTATGTGATGAGCAGGAAAGAATCCAAATCTAGACAAGCCATTTTTACTTAAAATAAGTGCATTTGCTCTTGGATTGAGGAGGTAAAACAGACATTTGGCCAATGGAGCAAGACAGTTTACACTTAAAATAAAAAAAACACAACTGCATTGTCTCACTACAGGTGCATATTATCTAATTATCTCATTTTAATGGTAAAAATGACTAATTCCATTGGCAAACTCTCTCATTTACCTACTCAAAATACGGGTAAAAACACTTAATTTAAGAAATTTCTACTTATTTCTAGATGGTTTTTCCAGTGTAAAACATGAGAGAAGGAATCCTCGTGTCTCTGGTTTCCTGTGGTTAGCAGGAGTTCAGAGGGGAGGGGGTGAGGGATCATCAGGTCTCCTCCCCCGCCTTCCCAGCAGCAGGAACACCTGATGCATCCATGCTGCGCTAACCTGCTCACAGCACGCCCCATTAGAGCAGAGTACAGGGAGGCTCACAGGCCAGGTGGAGATTTCTGTTTATAATCAGTATGGAGGGAATTTGTTCCTTTATTGTTGCAACTAAAGAAAATGGTATGCAAATAAAAATATGAAAAAGGTTTTTTTTTTGGTGAATAAACCTTAAAGCAACACAATCCAGAAATTAAACTTTGAAAAAGATCAAAATCAAAAAGATTTTAAGAGTAAATTAACAGTTTTCTTAACTTGTTTTTTTCCAATTATTTATTTATTTTTCCAATTTTATTTTTTTCTTTATAGATTTTACATTTTTCAAATTTTATATTGTTATTTTTTTTATTTTTATATGCAAAATTGAACTTTTTTTATTTAATTGAAAATAAATTTTTTTTTGGATCATTTATTGGACTGGAAGTGAAGGGAATGTGATCTGTCAAATGAAAAGAAAGGAATTAATAAAAAAAAAAAAGATTGAAATTATAAATCAGTTGAAAATTTTGAAAATTAAAAAAATAGAGAAAAAAAAAAACAATTTAAAGAATGATAAAAAAAAAAATTATTCTGGAATGCATTTTTCTCAAATTTAGAAAATCTTGATTTTTTTTTTTACATTCTATTTCCTATTACTAAATGAGTTGTTTGCTTGCAACAATAATGGAACAAAATTCACTCCATAAATCATCTGGTCAAATTTAGCAAACATCAGATCTATTTCATAGTTTTTAAAATGTAAACGTTTTTTGGTCCCGAAAAGTTAAAAGAATCAAACGTCGAACCAAAGGAAGATTTATATACGCTGCTGTGATGCTAATGAACGTTAGCACTGATATGCTAAATGTTACCAAAATCCAACCTGCTGTTGGTCGGACTGAGATGGGTTTCTCATTTCAGTTAGACGTTAAATATGGTGGGTGGGGTTTGGTGAACCAAAAAAACCAGAAGAAGAAGAAGAACATCTGATCTTTTAGTGCATCAACCTGATGGGCTCCAATTATTAGAGGCCAAAAGCTGCTTCGTCAAATTTAAAGAGCTCCTTATCATCCAGTCCACCTTTTTCAGCCAAATGTTTGTTTTTGTTTGCCTGGTGTTTCAACTTTTCTGCAAAGCTTTGATTAAAGCTGTAGGATCTCATTCTAGATCCACAAAAACTGAGGAAGATGATTCACTGTGAAACTCCTACTGGACTCTGGCCAATCAAAATAGTAGATGTTGATTAATCAATGTCTCAGAAGCCAATAGAAAATGCAGCTGGAAAATAATAAAAAAACAACCAAAATCAATTTTTATTAAATTACAGATGGTTTAATTTTTATTTATTTCAGTTGTACATTCTGAATTCCCGCTTTGAATATTGGACAGATGCATGAGCTCTGCTGGTAGTTGCCTGCTGGCATTGTGCAGAAATGCGATATTCTTGCCTGCATGTTACTGTAACGCCTCTATAAATACGTATTGTCGCGTTTTTCTGCCCCTCGGAATGCCACGGGTCACACTGCATTTATAACCTCACTCAACATATTCTCATTATCAGTTCGTATGAAATCGTACGAAAAGTTATGCACAGTATTTCGTACATTTTTGACGTTTTTCCTAGAAAAAACAGATCAGTGCGCATGCACAGCCAAAAAGCAGATCCGCGGACGGACGTAAAACTGGAAAAAACAGTGCAATAATTACTTCTTGATGTCTCTAACTAGGTTGCTTGCTGTTTTGTGTCTTAGGGTCAGGGTTAATTGTATGTTAAATTCTATGTTATTGAATGGTGCCTAAGATGCGCATACGCGAGGATATCTTGTCTCGAGAAAAGACGTAAAAATACGACGAAATACGACGAAAAAAACGTCAAAAACGTACGAAATTACTGTGCATAACTTTTC